GCCAAAATTTAAACTGAGTGTTTGAAGGTGTTAGAAAATTATATACTACTGGCATATTTACTGGCGTAAGCGATAGCGAAATGGTCGAGATATACAGAGTGTGAAAGAACGAACAAGAATGTTTTAAGTAGAGTTTGTAAGGAAGAGAGAAACAAAACAGCACATAACAAAAATAAATACAGAATGAAAAAAGGTAGAGAGGAGACGTTGTACCTGTAAATAATGTGAGTTGGAAAGACGAGATCCATTTGTTCTACTGACTATTTAATAAGTTATAAGTTTCACGCCTAATGCTTTCTTTATCGCACAGAACACGAGCTAGGTAGGGTATGGATGAGTTTTTGTACTTACTAGTGCGGGCATATAGTTTCCTATATAGGCTTCTTCTTTTCCCTGAAGAGATACATGGGAGAGTTGTGAATGTAGAGGGTGTTGTGAGTCAGATAAAATGGATTTCGCCCATTTTTCACATGAGTCCATGTGCCTGTCCACCAGAATATTAACAAGCTGGCTAAGTGGCAAACTGCTTACCCTGCTGACAACCTTTAACATCCTACGTAATAAGGTGTAGTCTTTCTTCAATAGCCCAGGAAAGACTAAGGGGGAACAACAGAGAATAATAGGTAGAGTAGGGAAGTTAACAAATTGTAGGAGTAAGGGTTGGGTTATACCAGAATGTCTTAACTTCTTGATGTAGAAGGTAAGACGGAATATTTTCTTAGAAATCGTCAAGATATGAGACGACCAGGAAAGATCAGAAGATGGAGTGACGCCTAGGTATTTAACCTCCGACTTGGTTTCAATCTCAGTGCCATCTATGTTGCACACCTCGTGAATGATAACCATTTTGTTTAGGTCAGATTTGTGCCTAAAGGTGAAATTAACTGTTCGGCATAAGATAAGGAAGATAAGATTACCAGTCAAATCTGAGGAGGATAATAAATAGTGTTAAAATGTATTCAATTCACATCATAACATTCTAACGAGTCACTTATTTCTACTTTAAATAAACGTCTTATTGACTAACGATACTCATCTTATTTCCCATCCTGTTGTATATTATTGATAACACCAATATCGGTTCTAAATGGACTTTATCTTCCTTTCCGTTTCACTCAGGTCTTACATTGATTTTATTCCAACGTCTAATCAATTTTACTCATGTATATAAATGAAGCAAGAAAGTTATGTGAGTACCTTGATATGATAATGAGCAATAATTTGTGCTCGAAGCGTCATCAATAAATATTACTTCATAAGACTGTGTGATTTTATCAAAATAAAATCCTGTCCATAATGGAGTTATACTCTACCACAGTGCCCAAGGTTTATCCTTATGTCAATGATCCTAGAGATTGTTTGCCTTTAAAATAGCTTCTTTTAGTGTTTCGAAAGGATTACTTACTTCTGGAAAGAATATTTGCGCGGTCACACACTTGCTGAATTACTGTTGCAGAGCACGTGTAACTTCCAGGAGCTGTGGACATGGATAAGTTACACCATATTCATGCAAGTCGGCTTGAATGTACAGAAAACGTGTTTCTTGATTGGGTAGCCAGGAAGAGACAAGCTGAGTGGGAATGCTAGTCGTTTGAATACGTATAAGTTTGGGTGTCTGATCACACGTCGTAAAAGTGGCCTATGTTGAAATGTAGCAAAGCTAAGAAATGAACGGATACAAAGTGGAAAGAACTCACTGATGTACAGCGAAGATTGTTTACCTGTCCACAAGTTTGTGAGATGAAGTTCGTTAACGGGCTTACCAGTTTAGGAGATGAGGAATGTCGACGTATACTCAAGTCACGCTGTTTATAAACGCCAGCTTCTATCCTGTCGCTCCCAAAATCCTCGTTCTGCTCAGACGCAAAGACAAAACAAATTGGTCGTCCAAAGTGCGATATATATTTCAGAATTAGAAACGTTGTGTGGTGATTAGCGCTTGACTGCGTACACTCAGCATTTTATGTTGACGAGCATCCCGTGGTTGAGCGAAGAATACTCCAGACTATTAATTTTGTGAAATCACTGACAGCAACGTACTGTCATTTACCCTAATGCCTTTCTATGATCTTGAATAATTGCTTTTCGGAGGAATACTTCTGTGGTGGTGTGACAGGGACAATCGGTTCTAACGGAATATTATTCTCACATATTTCCACAGTTCACTGCTGCGTTAGCGACAGAATACTTTGTGTATTTGAACATTCTATTTCATGTCGTTCAATGTAAGCCAATATATATATACATATATATAAAACTAATATTATACATCCAGATATTAACGACACTGAAACATATTGGAACTCGTAGAAAATGCACATCAGTAAACGTGGATTATTATGGACAAACCTCCCTGCTACCATGTCAAACGTGGCGATTTTTGACAAGCTTTTCCTCATTTTTTCTTCACTATTTAGCCTCGGGTGTGGTAAAACCCCTGATTTTACTTCCTGTCACTGATTTCAGCTTCAGTAGGTTACTTGGATTTATGTTTCATTGCTTTCACAACCGAGAATTGAAAATTACTAATGCATAGGACCCACAGATTTCCTCTCCTTCAGTAGTCCCCTTTTCAGTGTGGCATCTCTGTTAAAGACAAACAACATACTTAAAGTGTTCACTGGAGATCTGCAAACAGAATTCTCGGAACAAGTCTCAGGTACATTTACAGTGACAAAACAGTAAAACTGTTGCTCTACAGGTGATCTGTTTCTGCGTGAATCATCTTTCCATATCCTTTTGGAAACTAGCCGCGTTCCTCATAATATCCACATGTCTATACTTAACAAGGATTGGACCGAAGTGCTCGGTCTCAGGTTGACATGTCGGCTTCTTGTGCAGGTGCTTCGACGATGTCTGGGCATTTAGTTAGTATTTAATTGGTGGATGGTGACTAGCAGTGGAATCCAGGATGCGCATTTCATCCTATTTGGGACTCGTCGGCTGGATGTACCTGCATTTCTCAGTGAGTGATAATGTTCCCACCGAGGCTCGAACCCAGTGCCCATATGTTTTCATATAACGTGTTGGCCTATATATCATGATATAAAATGCAAAATAGCTCCAATTGTTTCAGTGTATTTTACGTAAATGATTAGGAGAGAGTTAAATATCTAGGTAATTATGATTTCATTATGTTTACAAAATTTCACAGTAATAAAGGAAACTGAGTTGGTAATTTCGTCAGATAACGGTGAATAAACAGTCATTTAACTGGTAGGTACTGTCTTTCAAGTTATTTATTTCGCCCATCATATGCTGACTGAATTTTTGTCATATTTAATTCTCAGGTTATGGTCTTCAATTCCGCAATCACTCAATACATTTAGACATTCCAGTGGTGTTAAAAAGGATAATATTTGTGTGATTGATGGAATATTTGTGATATTATGAATGTATTTGTCGAAATAAATATTGTTTTTAAAAATTTTGCACCTTATTCGTACACTAATAATACTTACTGTTTGTCAAGTTGCAAAGTGATGCCAGTGTAGAAGACATAATATTGGTAAAGTGCCATATTTACACCTGGTTGAATTTAGACACGATGGGGGTACTATTATCGCTTTCGCTAGTAAACCTTAAACAGGCGATATGCACAACAAAAGCCTATTTAATGCGTTACAGTATTTCATGATAACAAAGTAATCAATCAAATTTAGTGACGTAATTAGCTAATGCACGAGTCTGGGTGTTAATGTGATCATGTAAGAGCCTATTGATACGCAATGATAGCACAAGAAGAGTAATGTAGTTATCTCTTTATTACGCAATGATTTCCTTTGAGGTAGTGGTGTTGAACGCAACATAAGAATAGCAGACTATTTGTGATAAATAGGATATACGTTGCATGGTCAGCATGAAGTGCCTAGACTACCACTACAAGTCATGTACGTATAGGACCTATATTTGCTAGGTTATGTTTCGTTATAACACATGTTTGACGGCTACTTTCTTAACAATCGCGAATACCAATATTATACGCAACTGAAACACTTTACACAAGGCTTGATGATGCATTGAGGAAATAGTAAAATTTTAAGACTGACGCATTTCACATAAGTTTTAATACGTTGCCTACCATATTCTCGTTAACTCTGCAATGTCCTCAAAATGATAAGTGAAAGAGACAAAGTTAGTCGACATAAATGCATAAATTTGTAAGGAAAAAATAATCCATCAAGTTAAAAACGGATTAGAATGAAAAAGTACATATTGTTTTACTGACGTTTCGCTATTTAATGCTGCTAACAGCTTTATCAAAGTATTACTAAACCAGACTTTACAAAATTTCAGCTTATATATCACAACTTAATCGTCGTTCCTCAGCAAGGCGGCATTTTCGCCTTGTCAAGTTGGCCAATTGGTAAATAAAGATAAGAAAGCCAGGTGTACATTGTTGGATTTGATAAATGTGTAAAATTATAAAAGCTACGTGTGTTTACATAGTGAAATTGTTTATCACATTGGTGTTGATTTTGTCATTTGATATGAAGTCCTTCTGATGAAATGGGAAACGATATCAAGACTTGCGATAATGGAGACAGCAGCATATAATGAATGAGTTAATATAATAGCTTACCATAATCATCTGCAAACACGTGTAGTAGGAATGATTCAACACCTGTTCCAGGCATCTGGAAAATTCCATCACCCTTAGGACAATTACGAGAGAACAAAGAAAACTATGAAACTCAAGTTTCATAATTGAAGAAATGTTTATGACCAAATAAATTTTGATTGTTTGTACATTTGTTTTAATGCGTCGATGAAATTGCGGGTTGCAGTCACAGATTATTCAAGTAAGCACTCACGTGTTGGTCAGAGTTTCGTGACTTAGATGTAAGTGCAGGCCAGATATCGCTACCTGAAGCTGTTAACCGATGTTATGTTCTACATCCAATTTTACTGTTCAGTTAAGTAACCTAGATATTAAATGCATTACTATAATTTTGCTTTTTATTTGTTTATTTTGTCCTATTTTTAATTCCGTTTTACAGATGGATCCTCAATTCGCTTCTAACAAGCGTATCCGAAAGCACTCATTCGTGCGAAAAGAGGTTTTCTTTTTGGGAGACAGCAGACAAGAGTCAAGTGTTGAGAAGAAAACCTCACTCCGGCCAGATAGACGTGACAAGGTAGTGCCACATAAGGGGCATCCTGTCCAACAAGGCTCAGGAAGTTCTGGCGCCAAAGTGCAAACGGATCCGCCTGTAAGTCCCCACATCTCGTGGCTAGCAGAAATCTCGTAATTAGGAATGAACATGAAGACATTAGAATCATCTGAATAATGCGAATAGAGGAAATGGTGTAGGGAAGGAGGCGTTGGATTTATTTCATCGACATCTAGTCTACTCCCTGATGAAAGTGAATTCTTGAATAACTATTCTAGCATAGATCATTGACGAAACAGTTGTCGGACAATAATCAAGAGTAATTATGCTGGGTAGATAAATTAGCTGGTAGCGACAGAGTATCGCCACTTGTGTATCAAGCCCGTCTGACGTATGACACCCTATGTTACTGAATGTGACTTAAATCCATCACCGTTTTGTTTTGCATCCAATTTTACCGTCTAGTTGAGTCACCTAGTTATTGAATGCATTACCATAATTTTGCTTTTTATTTGTTTATTTTGTCCTATTTTTAATTCCGTTTTACAGATGGATCCTCAATTCGCTTCTAACAAGCGTATCCGAAAGCACTCATTCGTGCGAAAAGAGGTTTTTTTTTGGGAGAAAGTAAACCAGCGTCTATTTGTGAGGAGAAAAATACCAGAGCACCATCAAGTAGTCATAAGATTGGAAAATGTTAATCCAGTTAGGATGACTGTTGTCTGTCGATTTCGCCGTTGTATGTACTAAGGTGAATCCGATACCTGTGAATGTGGTGATCAACCCGGATTATTTGTCGCTTATGAAAGGAAAGAGGTATGTGCATTATTCTGAATTAGGTCATGGAAGCTGTAAGTCCCCACATCCTGTGGCTAACAGGAATCTTGTAATTAAGAATGGACAATAAGTAATCTGGGCGTCGGTGGCACAGTGGTTAATACTTTCACCGACCATGCACACGGTCCGAGGTTGGAACCCCTGCCGACGCACATCTGATATCTATGGTCGGCCTTCGAAATTTGGGCTACCGATATCCATCCTGAATATTCCATACTTGTACCGAAAATACGGTGTGGAATCAAGCTGTAAATCAAAAATTAAAAAAAATAAGATTAAGTGATACATTTAATTGATATGATTGTATTATTATTGGTTTTTATCTAAGTCAATGATGAATTCGTTGCGATAATAATACCTATTATGAGCATAAACGGTATTATTATTGTTCTCGCTGTCAAGACTTATTATTTGTCATAAAGCCATTGTCGTTTTCTATTAAAATCTTGGTACAGGCTTTGGGAAGAACTGCATAACTTGTCGTTAAATAATTTTATTATTTCATGTGATGGTTCGATGAACCTGCTAGATATCGACCAACGATAAATTGCAAAGTCCCTTAAGTTTAGTGAAAAGTATTTAGCAACTTATATATATTGTTTGTAATGTGATTACTTATAAATGCTTATCAATAAAAATTTTTTTATTCAGGTCATACATGTACTACCCAAGTTAATAATGCTTTTCTTGAACCTTTTCAGGCTTATGGAGAAACATATATGTGCTGTGTACGCAGTTGGGACCTACTGAGAGTAACGGAGGACTACTCATCTGAGCTATCTGTACATCTAAAATCTAATTTTTGTTTAATAAACAATTTTTCAATGAATCTGTGTTCCTTCTGTTCTAACGCGATTGTGTTCCAGTGACATAAGTAACACGTGGTAAGTTAGGAATTGAGGGTAAACTGTTAGGAGTAAGTGCGGCGTCTGGGAAACTCTCTATCAGTCAGGTTTGCAATGTGGCCACCATTCTAGGAAGCTCGCCAACCCTGTGCACATTGATTTGATGATATTCGATAGTTACCGAATGCTCATTATCTATGCATTGTTTAATGTAGTCAAAATAATCTAAGCGGAAAGTAATGCACGGTCTTCTACTTAGGAAACCGTATTGGGGGGGGGATAGTAGGACATTAGAGAGTAAATACTAAATGATTCGAGTCTTTACTATCTTTTCCATTACACGTGAAACTACAGACGTGATGTTGATAGGGCGGTGGTTGTCGATATCAGCTATAGGCCTGTATTTATGAATAGGTACAATATAAGACTTCTTCCAGCAAGTAGGCTATGTCCTATGGCTTAATGAAATTGAGTATAACTTGAGTAGGAGTTAAGTTGAAGACAATATCACCGTTTTTCAATAGAATGGAAGATATACTGTCTGCACCAGGAGTGTTAGTAAGCTTAAGATTTGCGATAGCTTTATCGATCTCTTGTGTGGTGAAAAGTATCTCACTCAGATATTCGTCTGTTTTACGTGTGAAATCCACGACCTGGTCGTTCTCCATGGTGTATAGTCTGGCGAAGTGCCCGCTAATAAGTTAACATATCACCTCGGTATTCTCTTAAGCAATACCGTCCAAGTATATTAATTTTAGATAGGCTGTTTTGGAGTTTGTTAGCCTACTTTTGAAAAGCCTGGCTAAGTCTCCTGGGTTATGCGGTGGCTGAATGGCCCACATTTCTTTGTTTCTGAGGCTTATATTTTTCAACTCTTGGATTCTGGTGACAACGTACGTAATAGCAATTAATGATGATAAATCATGACATCCGTAGCATTTTATTGAGTGCTTGACTTCTCCTTCACGATGTCGGAATATAATCGCTTTGGTGAATTTGAAGCTAAGAATCTCCTCAGGTGCAATGACATCATGAATTGATTTAATATTGGGATAAAAATTGTTAAGAACTGCGTCTAAGGACTCGTTCGAAAAGTACGAGTGCCAATTAGAGTATCTAATTGGGTGCTGATACAAGTCCTAGTCGGCATGTGTGTATTATCTCATAGGTGTCTGGTCGGCTTGATCTCTGAGTATTGTTTCAGGGAAGGTGTTAAAACAACACACGAATATTTTACGGTCACTGCCTGGAAATTCATCTCCTATACGTACTGTAGATGGTGTTATGTTGTTTGTGAAAATAAGGTCTAGGGTATTTGCGGATCTAGTGGGTGAATTTATGTGTTGTATCCACCCTCCTGTGGCGATGGAATTCAGGAGATTATTATACATTTTGGGTCCTCGGAGTGAATGCCATGATACTTCTGGCATGTTGAAATCACCTCCGATAATTTTATAACTGAAGAGAAGATTGCCTGTAACATTAAACATGTTTCTGAGCATATTATCATACTCCCAGTTGGATGAAGGGGGTCATTACACACAACCCATAAGTATAGGTTTACTTCGACCCAGATCGATTCATTCAGCTGTGACAGAATTGGGTTACTGAGCTGGGTTTCACACATGAATTGTTCACAGTAAATTAGTGTTCCACCCCCATGGCCTGTCTCTCTGTCCCCTCGAAAAATATTGTGGTTAACAATTCTTAGGCTGTCATTAGGGATTTCACTTGTGTACCAGGCTTCAGTGATTATAATCAATGACAGTCTGCACATAGAAGCTAATGTAACACTGGCTACATGATTTTAGTGAGCGGAGAACATCTTGATAAAATATTCCGTGACTATCCTCTGTATACATGCATTTTAGACTCACTAACGACTACCTTTGGATCATAGGAAGATTTCAGGCAGGTTCGTAAGGTGGTAGTCAGGGGTGGTCTGTCGGTTGAATAGGGTATGCAATGAGACACATGTGTGAAAATTAGAGATATCGGTATCCGCGTTCGGTGCCGACAGTATCAACCGTCTCCTGGGAAATATACCTTTTCCTAGCAGTAGACTGTTCACAACACCGGCAAAGAATTAATCCGATAGCATGCGTGCTAAACGCATGATCCCAGATGTTTCCGTTGACTGACGCTGGTGAAAATTCTTCTCGAAGCGGCTACTAGGGGCAGTATAATTTTGAAAGTAATAGTCGATATAAGTATTCGGTAATTTGTTGCCAGAATAGGAATGAAGACTTGGTATCTGGTTGGGGTTGTTATCAGACCATAGCAGGTTTTGTGCAGACATCGGCACATGCTCCCTACTAAATACATAAGATGTATAAATGGGTTCTATGGGCATATTTGGCTGACTGAATGTTGTCTGTAGCCGATGTTTAGGAGATTTTCTATAACATTCAAAGGGGGCTGGTTAACAATGGGTTTGCTTAGTGGATGAGCAGAATAATACCGATTATCTCGCTGTGTTGTTTGTACAGAAGTAGTGGTTGGATGTAATTAGGTTTTCCATATTAGTTTGTTTATTAAATATATCACACAGTGAAACAGCAGTATTTACTGGAAGGCAGGAATAAAAATGACCGGCATTCAAACCAACTACAAACTCAATTAGAAACATGCTTTGTCGGTTAAAAGATCCTGTGGAGCCTTTAAAACAAAACAATTTAGTTTGTCTAATACCCTGTCTCCAATGATTGTCAGGTCAAATACATACGTGAAAGTGGTAGAACAGGTGCAGTCAGACTAGCCGAGCATAAAAACCTATCAAAATCTAGATTGGTTGACCCGAATAAGATAAGAAATCTAGAGAATAGTTCAGGCGTAGATAGCACTACATGCAGTTACACACAACCACACAATATGATGAATGAGATAAGATGACAGCTTTAAAATCTAATGTGACAGAGTGGAGGGAGAGATTGATAACGGAAGCATGGTTTATCGAGTCAACTGCAAATACGTGTAATAGGCATGATTCCACACCTGTTCCAGACATCTGGGAAATTCTACCACCCTTACGACAAATAGGAGAGGAGGACAAAGGAAACTATAAAACTCAAGTTTCGAAGTCGTGTGATATTTTTATTCCTTCACGTTCCCAGTGGAATACAGGGCTCCAAGCTAGAAGCTCGAAATTCCTCGAGCAGTGTTTGTTTTTGCAAGATGGGGTTGCTAGCCTCATGCCCAACCTCCCTCTTTGCCAGTTCTATTACTGGCTCTGTGAGGTAAAGGAGTGCGTCGTCCGGGGATGGAATCCCGCACCATGCGCATGGTTGGCGTGTGTCCTAGGCGCTATGCCACCGATGTCGTGTGATTATAATTGATGAAATGATTACAACCAAATAAGTTTTGTTTGAAACGTCATCCAGTATATAATACTGTTTCACTGTGTGATATATTGTCTAA